CATTGACTTTATACTACTTCATTCTTCTCATTTTGAGTTATCTATTATAGTATTACTTATAATTTTTGACTGAGGATATTTTTCAAATTAATGTATATGAAAATTGAGGTAAAATTATAAATTAAATTTTAAAAATTAAATAAAAGACTCTAAAGAACAAGATTTGATATGCCTATATTGTCTTATCATTTAAGTAACAAGAATGAGCAAAAAAATTGATTAAAATTTGATTATATAGATATTAAACAGATAACTTAAATTCAAACGGAATGAGTAATATATAAATACTCCGTAACCTTAACTTAAAACTACATTTTTTCTGTAATAATAAAAATATATACTACCACATCTTCATCACCAAATATTTTTTTACTTTTAACTTTGAGCAATCAACTAAAATCAAATTTTAACCTTTAATTAAACTAAAAATTACATAATATACTAATTAGATAAAAATTATTTTAAATTTATTTTAATAAAATTACTCTTATATAATGATCAACTTTTATAATTTTAATTACCAAAAAATAAACAGATACTCTTTAAACAATCCTTCCTTGGTGTTGAAAAGATCTGAGAAGATCTAATAAGCGCATACACAGAACGGGGGGCGTTTATTTAGACCGGGCTAGATGGAAGGTAGAAGGAGTCGCGACCCTTTCTTAGTTTCGATTCTTCGGAAGTAGCAGAGAGGCTAAAGACGTTGACAATAGCCATGCTAGAGTCACTATATATAACGGTTGACCTTTTCATATGTATCAGCTTTCATTCCTCTTTGTTTGTGTAGATCGTGCTGATAGATCTCTTTCGCAGTTCACAGATTCGTAAAAGATGTTCGGAAGGGCGCCGAAGAAGAGCAACAACACCAAGTATTATGAGATCTTGGGAGTTGATAAGAACGTTTCTCAGGAGGATCTCAAGAAGGCGTACAAAAAGGCCGCCATCAAAAATCACCCCGACAAGGGCGGCGATCCCGAGAAGGTATGGTGTTTTTGTTTGATCTTGTTGGGTATTTCTGCAATTGGTGATTCTGAGCTTTTTTTTTTTAAGTTTTGATTTGTAGATTTCCGTGAATTTGTGGTGCTTTTTGTTAATCTGATTATCAGATCGGTGTTTGAAATTATAACAAGTGTTGTGTACTGACTTGGGAGATTTCTAGCGTTTTCTTTTCCCCTATTATATGTGGAAGCAAGGTCGTGCTTTTCAATTCCTTAAGTGGCAAGACATTCTGTTTTAATTCAAAGCGTTTAGGTAATAATAGGTGTTATTTACAATTGAGTCGTTTTTAATTGTAGATTTCCATTAGTTTGTGTTGATCTTCAGTACTCAGAATATCAGATCAAAGCAATTTAAGATTATTCTTGAAGTCTCTAGACGTTTTTTTGTTCAAAAGTTAAGGTTCCAGCTTTAAAACAGGTGTTAATTGTTACTCTGCATTTGAATCATTCACCTCTTTAACATAATCAGATTAATTTAAGCACTTCAAACAGATCCATTGGCATGCCACATGATGTTTTGCTGATACGGCTCTTCTCAGTTTTAGCCATGGTTTAATGCTCTCATTTGTATTCTTGAAATTGTAAAGTGTAATTAAATCAATCCCATTGATTTGTCGGTTCAAAAAAAAATCCCATTGATTTGTGTGATATGTGATTTTAATCCTTCTTTTGTATTTGGATGTTGTGTTTCAGTTTAAAGAGATTGCTCATGCCTATGAGACACTGAGTGATCCCGAAAAACGAGAGATTTATGACCAGTACGGTGAAGATGCACTCAAGGAAGGAATGGGAGGAGGCGGTGGAATGCACGATCCATTTGACATATTCCAATCCTTCTTTGGTGGCAGCCATTTTGGTGGTATGCCTTTTATGTGCGCATTGTATCTCAAATCTCTGCCTAATTTTTTACCTATCCAAAGATTGGATAGGCCATTGTTAGAAACACAGACATTTATGCTCTTAATTTGCAGGTGGTGGAAGCGGCAGGGGAGGCCGTAGGCAAAGAAGAGGAGAGGATGTTGTTCACCCCCTCAAGGTTTCCTTGGAGGATCTCTACAATGGAATTTCAAAGAAGCTGTCTTTGTCACGAAATGTGCTGTGTCCAAAATGCAAGGGGTAAGTGTCTATTTCCATTGCGTTCAGGTAGTAACCTATAAATATATGTACTAGGTTGTCTAATGAACAACTACGATTCTCTTTTCAGCAAGGGGTCTAAATCTGGTGCATCAACAAAGTGTTCTGGCTGCCAGGGTTCTGGGATGAAAGTAACCATCAGACAACTTGCACCGTCTATGATCCAGCAGATGCAACACCCTTGCAATGAGTGTAAAGGTACCGGTGAGACTATTAATGACAAGGACAGATGTGGACAGTGTAAGGGTGAGAAGGTGGTGCAAGAGAAGAAGGTGTTGGAAGTTATCGTGGAGAAAGGAAAGCAGAACGGTCAGAAGATCACATTCCCTGGAGAGGCTGATGAAGCTGTAAGTTTTTCTTTTTCTTCTCCTTCTTCTTAGTATTATTGTGAAATGCCGCGCACCATTTGTCAAATTTGCTCTTGAAATGATATCCAACACAGTGAGCCTTACAAGGATGAACTTATCTTTGTTTCTCAGCCTGACACTGTCACCGGAGACATAGTTTTCGTCTTGCAACAAAAGGAACATCCCAAGTTCAAGCGAAGGGGCGATGACCTTTTTGTGGAGCACACCTTATCCCTAACAGAGGCACTTTGTGGTTTCCAATTCATCCTCACACACCTTGATAACAGGCAACTCCTCATCAAATCCCTTCCTGGAGAAGTTGTTAAGCCTGGTATGTGAAAAGAAACCGTGTAAGCTGGGTGTTTTCTATTACTATCAATTTGATTTCTTTCTTGATCAATACCAAATAAGAACTTGTTTTACCGTTTCATCAGATCAATTCAAGGCCATAAACGATGAAGGAATGCCAATGTATCAAAAGCCATTCATGAAAGGGAAACTGTACATCCACTTCACGGTGGACTTTCCAGACTCATTGACTCTTGATCAATGCAAGGCGCTGGAAGCCGTGCTACCTCCCAAGCCCGCGACGGAGATCACCGAGATGGAGCTGGACGAGTGCGAGGAGACCACCCTGCACGACGTCAACATTGAAGACGAGATGCGCAGGAAGCAGCAGCAGCAGGCACAGGAGGCGTATGAGGAGGACGATGACATGCACGGCGGCGGGGCCCAGAGGGTACAATGTGCACAACAGTGACGAAATTGGGATGGCATTTGATCTTCTGGCTATCTATGGTCACCCATGGGACTTGCAATATGATGGGTGATATTTTGGGAATGGGTCCATATTACGGAGTGTTTCTGAACTGCGTAGTTTACTCTCTTTTTTGTAAACTGCTTGAGAATTTAAAGATTGCTGCCTCATCTTTTTTTTTTTTAAAAAAAGATATTGTAGTAATGCCTTTTTTCCTTTGTGTTAGTCATTTTATCATAAAGTGATGTTTTTTGTTGTTAAGAAATCAGGACCATTGTTCTGCTGTAGTTGTGGCATAATTACTCTCTTAGTTTCTTAAAACATTCCTAGTTCGTTTTTACATTCAAAACTTCATTTTTTAAAAAAAGAAATGATTTTTACTTACAAATTGTTATAGAAATAAAACCTAAAAGTCATATATTTACAAATTATATTTAAAAAAACATGGATTAAAAGAGGTGAACAACTTATCTAATGCCTAAGTGTGTAACTAAAGCCTAATTGTGTTCCTAAGAACATTCAAAGCAGTTCCTTTGGGGACGTCCTATAAAATTGGAACGAGAAAGAACATTCAAAGCAGGACCGTATAGGATGCAACTAGCACTCCATAGTTTCTCTAGGGCTTCTTCGTTTTTCGTTATCGTCTGTTTAAAGGCTAGCTCTTTTTAACTGGGCACGGGCTCCAACTTCAAGCAACGGCTTTCTGAGTTTGGACGACGAGTGCGGGGCTAGAACGTCGTGCATATTTGGTGATCTTATGTTCTATTCGGGGATTATGCGTTACCTAAAATTTCTATAACGTACTTGGTGAGATAGTTTCAGAGTCGTCTCTCGTAAACATTGAGTTGTAGCCAACTTGTCAAGTCTTTCGCAAAAGGGCCTCATGGTTGGCTTTACATTAGAAAGATTCATTATAGAATTTGTTTTTTTTAGAGATCATCTGTTCTCTCTACTTGTGTTTTATAGATCTATCACATTGCATAGATCTTCTCACATAAGTAAACTATTACCTTGTAAAAAAACTAATTATGTAAATGCTTATATTAATAGTATGAGAAAATTTATGTAGTTAATAAGAAAGCCCACCTAAGAATTTACACTCTAGCCATTGTTTCCTATAAACTTTAACCAATCACAAAAGATCGATTTACCGTGCACATAATGGTATCAAAAATTTTATCCTCAAAAGTCCCGCCCCAACCTTGAACCAAACGCTCCTTTACTTCTCTTGGAGCAGCTTCTTTTTGCACTATGAATTCCACAATATAGTATCGGTTCAAATATATTTTCTCGATTTACTAAAGAAAAAAATTAAGGTGCCCACTAAGATTGGGACAAAGAGTCGACTAAAATCACTAAATAAGCAATGCAGACTTCATAAATTTTTGGAAAAGTATTGAAAAATAAAAAGCGAGTGGTTGAAATTTAATTAAAGAAAAGTTAGTGAACTACATATTTTTTACTTTATTAAAAAAAAACAAAGACAATTATTTTAAAACAAAATAAAAAATATGAAATGACTAATTGATAAGGACTAAGGACTATAAGTGATAGGCCCAAATAAAGTGCTTCTTCAACCTCTATCATTCTCCAGTTTTAAATCAGCTAAAAAACTTCTAGCCGTTATAGACTCTCTCTCTCTCTCTCCTACTCTCCCAAAGATCCGACTTCTCTGTTTCCCCTTTCTTGATCTTTACCATTTTTTCTCCTCCAAATTCAATCTTGAGTTGGCATCATTCACAACTTCTTCATCTTTTCCTGCAGATCTTGAAGATCACACTATTAATATTCTTCTCAATTTAGAATGTATTCTGTGAAGGGGAAGCTACTGAAGAAATTGAAGACAGTAAAGAAAATTGGGTATTTAAAGCCGGAGATTATCATCCTGCAAGAAAAAGAAACAAAGAAAAATCTTGAGCCCACAGTGGAAGACGACCCAGTAATCGATGATATCTCCCTAAAAATGGCGGATCTTGGCAATGTATTTAGTGATAAAGAAAACCCTCGGCAAAAATCGAGCTCTTTAAAGCCGAAGATCGAACCTATAGGAGGAAAATCATTGCCGGAGATGGACGCCCCCGCCTTCCGGCGACTGGACATGAATACCGGCAGCCTGTTCGACTCAGGATTAGTTCATGTTTCCGAAGAAAATCCGAATCTTGGCAGTTCATTTGGTGATAAAGAGAATCTCCGGCCAAAATCGAGCTCTTCATGGTCAAAGATTGAACCTTTAGGAGGAAACCCATTGCCGGAGATAGACGTGTCCAGTTTCCGGCGACCGGACATGAACTCCGGCAGCCTGTTCGACCCCAACCTCCTAGCAGCTTTTGAACAAGTCCTCATTTCAGTAAGAGCAATGGAAGCCGAGAGAATGGCCATGATTGACGAAACAATCGACCAGATACTCAAAGAAGAAGAAACCCAAGAAGCCCTTTCCAAATTCGAAGAGAGGTGCCCTCCGGGAGGGTCACAAGTAGTGATCCTCTACACAACGGGCCTCCGAGGGATCCGAAAGACGTTCGAGGACTGCCAGAGGATTCGATTCCTCCTCGAAAACTTCAAGGTTTCGTTTTTCGAGAGGGACATTTCGATGCACAGGGAGTACAGGGAGGAGCTGTGGAGGGCGTTGGAGGGGAAGGTGGTGCCCCCAAGGCTGTTCATTAAGGGTAGGTACATTGGGGGAGCTGAAGAAGTTGTGGGGTTGCATGAACAGGGCAAGTTTAAGCCCCTTCTTCATGGAATCCCACTTGATGAGTCTCAAGGGCATTGTGATTCTTGTGGTGGGATTAGGTTTGTTTTGTGTTCCAAATGCAATGGGAGCACAAAAATTCTCGAGGAGGGTGGCGGCGGCGGCGGCGGCGGCGATGGTGGTGGAGATTGGAGGAGGGTGAGATGTGGAGAGTGTAATGAGAATGGGCTTGTTGTATGTTCATTGTGTTCTTTGAGGTGAATGATTGAATTTATTCAGCCAGCCACTCACATGTAATATTTGTATACATTTTTGGTAGTCGTTCTTTTTTATTGTTGTTTCTATGCAAGAATTGGCTTATTTTATTTCAAAAAAAAACTGTGTTACCATGCAAAAATTGTGTAGAAATGTACTATCAAATGCACTCTTTTTTCATCATAATAACGTTCGATAGTCAATAATAAAGTTATGGTCTTGGGAATAACTTCTTCATTTGGCGTTGACATTTTGGATAGTTTTTTAATTGAGCAGATTAAGTTTTAAAATGTTAAAAAATTAAAGATGTCATTAGGGAATCTTTTCAAAATTGATAAAAACTAATTCTGAAATTATTGGCAAATGGAACCTATATACGTGTAAGCTTACTGAAATCAACTTTGTTCTAGTAAAAACTTGGAGGAACTAATTTTTGGAGTAACATAATCTAAATTTTTACTCGAAGTCCCAAATTTTTTTTATAAAATCCAAAATAATCAATCTCGAGATTTGCCAAATTTGATTTGTATTTGCAATTTAGAATTGCAAAATCTATGCATTTTCAAAAAAAAAGGAATTGAAATTCTCTTTTTCCTTTTCATAATTTAGAAAATCTTGAATTAAAAACATGCACTACATATTTCACATGAAATTTCAAGCTAAATTTGTTCTTATTAAAATATATGGAGCACTCCATAAGTGAATCATTATCAACTCATTTTGTGGTTTCTTGAAAATAATCTCTCTACTTCCAACTATAAAAGTGAAAGTTCATTGGGCTTTTTTGTTATCAACTCCTCAAAATTTAAAATTTCTTTTTCTGCCAACACAAAGGGTGTTAAAAAAAGAAAGATGAGCAAGGGGGTGTTATTTCAACTCATTAGATGATTAGGCACAAAGTACCACAACTGCAAATACAATGATCACAACTATGACAGTTTCTAGATGCCAAGAAGAAAATGCACAAACACACAAGATACATATGTAAATTACAATACACAATCAACAATCAATGAAAAACTAAAATCAATCAGCCAGTTTCACACCTGTCAAATAGACTTGGCACCGGATGATGCTTTCCATGATGTAGAAACCGGGCATAACCATCAGCCCGACCTTAGGTTTCACCTCTGTGTCTTCAACGACGAAATCTTTCACAATGCTATCCATATAAACTTCCGAGAACTCACTTCCCTTCTTCACCTGAAAAACCTTGACAGCAGGATCAAATGAATATGCCAGCCTGTGCAAGAGCCAGATTGACTTTGCCAGCTTTAGAAAAGCCTGATAGAAAGCTGTTCTTGGGTGTCCACCCCCGATTATATAGTTCCGTTGATCCAAGTTGCCAAAAAATGAGGCCTCCATCTTAGGATGAAGAACGGCAAGGTACTTGGTCCTGCAGAATTTCCCGAATATGGAATCTGGGCTTTGGGCCACGGCATCCAGTGGATCCATTTCCCTTAATGCAAGATATTGGTGATAGAAACTCTCCTTCATGGCTTCTGGATCTTCGTGTTTCAGGGAGAAGCATTTGTCCTGAAACCCACTGAACATTTTGTGGGAAATATTTGATTCGAATGCATATTTCTTGTGAGCCCGCTTTGCATATACAACATCTGACTCGATGGAATGTGCTGCAGCATCAAGATCCCATCCAGCCGCTTTCATCATGTTGATTACTGGTTTGGAAAAATCATGAACAGCTTGATAGGCACATTCCACTGTGGATTTGAAAAGCTCAGGTGTTAGATCCACAGAGATGAATCCATTTGCAGAACCTTCTTTAGAGGATAAACCCCTGAGCTTTAGGTTTTTCTCCAATTTAACTCGTTTCTGATTCGCTTCATGAATCTGCTGCTGCAACTGAAGAATCTCGGAATCTTTGTTCTGTATCTCAGACTGAAATTTCTTGACCATGACCTCGTATGTTTTTAACAAGTTCTGCTGTTCCTGAATCTCTGCAGCCAAACGGGAGTCCTGCGGAGAAACACATGCTGGCTTAGGGTTGTGCTCCCTGTAGAAGTGTTTGAGTTCAGATAGGGTCTTCAGCTCTGAGATCACAAGTTTATCAGCAACTTGGATCTTGTCAGGGTCATACGGAGTGTGGGCCGACTGAAGTTGGATGTAAGCTGATTTGAGTGATGAGACATTTGTGAAAATCTTGGAAATCAATGCTTCGACTGGTTCTAGTTTTTTATTATTTGTAGCTTCTTCCATGGGCTGTGGGTGGACCTTCTGGCTGTTGCTCTCACGGAGTTGAGGATCTTTTGCCCCAGTTGGTTGCATAGTTACTTTTGCAATAGGTTGGAAAATTTAAGCAATTGGTTTAGGGGAATTTAACCTGTAACACCAAACAACATCATAATTGCACACTGGAAGTGTAGCTAATACACAATAGGCCAACATCATCAACTAAAATAGAAGGATAAATAAACCTAGTGATTTAGGAGAAATTAACCAGTAACACCAGACAACATCATACTGTAATTCGCAAGAAGGACGCAAAATTACTCAAAAGCACACAGAACTATAATACCTCATCTCTTCAACCATTAAACTTAATAAGTCACTGTACAAGTATTATACTTCAAACCCAATCATAACTAATAATACTTCAAGAATTCCTTTGGAAAAAAAACTTCAAAGAAACCAGTTCAATCAGAAGACAGTTTTCTCGCTTCGTATCCCAAACCCTCACTATCAATTCATAAAAATAAAATTTAAAAGACATTTAAGTGTTAAGTATACCAGCATTATGCCCAACATGCACTCCTGGCTAACAATAATTATAGTCTCAACATTGCTTATCAAAAAGTGATAAACACTCATTAAAGTAAACATAGTCATTTCTCGTTCACACTTGATTTCACGCTAATAAAGCACCCACAACCTGTACTTTTCTTCAATATGTCAAAAAAACTGAATATTCATTCAGATCTATCCCTATGTAGGTCAAATTAGGTTTTGGTGCAACAGCAAATTGCTCGGATTTCAATATCTATCAAGATCAAGTTTGATTATTTACTGTATTACAGGAGGCTGATTTAATTTGAATTGTGTAAATTCGAAAAGGAAAAAATTTTGGGTACTCACCATTACAGACGAGATGAATAGAGATAGATGACGTGATAGCGAAGATATATATATATCTGGAAGCGGCCGTCTCCGGTTACTTCGCCGTGAAATATTATCGGTGACAAATTTGTTCCGGGAGGACTGAAGGAGAGAGACGGAAACAGAGAGAAGTGCCGGCGGCGATAAAGTGACGAGGGAGGAGAAGAAATATCGCTGGTTTTTCTCTTTCCGCTATTTGCATGTTCGAGTTCCCCTTTCTTACTTTTTACATTTCGAGATCGTAAGTTTAAATATTTTCATTTTGACCTTCCAGTTTTTTCACATGTTAAAAACTGACTCGTCCTTGTCACCTTGTGTATACTAGCTTTGTCCCACAAAAAAATTCTCATTTTGACCATAAATTGGTCAAACTATTGCACACTTTCACCCTAAATTAAATATAATCTAAATAAAGAAATTCTAAAAAGTTTGAGATATCAAAATTAGATTCTAAGATAAATCCAATTATATAAATTTTATTCTATAATTCAATATACTTTTCTCACAATCTATAGTTAAAGCGTGTAAATATTTGACTAAATACTATTCAAAATGAGAACTTTTTTATGAGACGGAGGGAGTATATAGTTATGTACCATGGATTAAAACGTGATATACTCTCTAATTGCCAAATTGAATTATACTTCTTCCGTCCCAAAATATTCACAACATTTGTTTTTTTAGTAGTCGCGGAAACTTTTATTTATTTCTACATTTTCATTGGTTATTCACTTATTTGATAAAATAAAATATTCTTGACACATCTTATTTCGAAGAACTTTTCATTTGTTTTTTGATATGTAAATTTTATTTTTTATTTTTATACCAATATGTAAATAAAATGAATTGAAAAAATTTGATATTTTGCCTCGGGAATACAAATGTGACAAATATTTAAGGACGGAGGGAGTATTTTTTAAGACTTAACTTTTAATAAATTTACGGAGTAATTTATTTGTGTACTTTCATTGATTGGGAAACATAGTTCTTTCACTCTTTAAATATATTATAAAATAAAAATTTTATGCTTGTTAATATAAAAATTATGTCATTAAAAAATTAATAATTGTAACAATAAGGTACATCAACTTCAACTTATAACAAAAAGATAATCCATCCTTAAAAAACACGAAGTATAACAAAGGGGTACTTTTTGCTATCGTCTTCCACTTGGCTTCCTAGTGTATATTTTACATTTCATATGACTTCTAAACCAACTTGTATCAATCTAATACTAACGTACTTATTTAACTTTGTACTTGGCACATAGTCAAAATTTTTGATAAATGAACACACGGGCAAGTGGGCAACAATCATATACTCTCTTAATCCCATATTCCCATTACAAGAAATTATTTTAATTTATACAGGTAGATGTGAATTAAGAAAATAAAAATTACTCTGTATTTCCTGTAGTATAAGAAAATTATAAAAAAAAAATTAAAATTACAATAATTGATTGAATTTATTAACAATTTAATTTATATAAAGACAATGGTAAATTAAAAAAATAAAATTTATATATTTAAAAAAACTACAAAAGTTTTACAAATCAAGGAGAAATGTTTCATGGCAGGCCTTAGACAAGGAGAGATTGTAATACTAGTACTACTTGAGACATCCTCTTTGTCACAAAGAAGCCTACTAATCCACTATCTCCCCACAATCTTCAATGGCAACCTCCACAGAAGTCTTCCCATCAGGCGAGCCGACCTTCTCCATCGCGGTGACAACATCGTACCCATCGACCACCTTCCCAAACACGACATGCTTCCCGTCAAGCCACGGAGTCTTGGCAGTGGTGATAAAGAACTGAGAACCGTTCGTGTTGGGCCCAGCATTCGCCATGGAGAGAAGACCTGGCCCAGTGTGCTTCATCTTGAAGTTCTCGTCCCCAAATTTGGTCCCGTAAATGGATTCCCCGCCGGTCCCATTGCCCCTCGTGAAGTCCCCGCCTTGGCACATGAAGCCCGGGATTATGCGGTGGAAGATGGAGCCCTTGTAGTGTAGGGCCTTCCCTGAAGCCCCAATCCCTTTCTCGCCGGTGCATAGGGCGCGGAAGTTTTCTGCGGTTTTTGGTGTGGTGTCTGCAAAGAGTTCCATTACTATGCGCCCGGCCTTGATCTTCTTTACAGCAATGTCAAAGAATACCTTTGGGTTCTTTGCCATGTTTTTTAACCTGGCAAAGAATTTGCTAATAAGGAAAATTGGTCATAACCAAGAAACAGACATAAAAGTCTACCTATTTGTCAACAATAAACAGTGTCCCCAAATCAATTCTACTGGTCTAGCAACTTAGGTCTTCATTTGGGAAGTAAGGTTTGTGGTTCAGCATTTTGAATAAGTTTCAATGGCATAGATTATCTTTGAAGATGCTGATGATAAAAGCCAGTGTTGGATAACATTTTCAAAATATTGAAACGAAACAATAAACTAACGCCAAACAAAGCTTCACACCAGCAACAGCTATCAAAAGGGGGCAATGGGTCTTTCACTCCACACACATCCCCAATATACTTCCTCCCTCCCCATTGATTCTTGACTTTTTTTCAGCCATCCAACTTGCTCAACAACTTTTTTTCATAGACAGAAAAAAGCGTGCATTAAAAATGTATAATTTTGATATCGTTTTCAAAATCCGTATTGCTTTATAATAAGACCGTATATAATGTGTAAGAAAAAAATATTATCAAAATCATACACTTTTGCGAATCACTTTTTTTGTCCATGAAAAGAACATTTTTGAAAACAAGTATTATGAAAATGTTGGATTAAAAATGTTAAACACCATGGTTGTGCTAATCTGACCCATAATTACCCCACCACCACAAATCTATCTTGCACAAATCCTTCCAGAAAAAAACAGAGAAGGCATGAAAAATGTTGATTTTATGATGAGTAATCCTCTTGAAGATCAAGAATTTCTCAGCAAGAAACCAAAAAGAATGAATCTTTTTTATTGTCGCACAATTTATGAGCTCCAAGGGGTTTCAATAAGGGCCCATCAAGCCTTCGATACGTGCTTATGTTTTCAATTTTGAATTTATGATAGTTTAATAAACATGCAATTAGCTGCAGACCAAATAATGAAGGAAAAAGATCGAACCTTAGACGCTGAAGAACAGGAGTTACAGGGTTGGATGGAGTTTAGGGTTTTGAGGCAAATGCTGGTTATATATAGAGATAGAAAATGGGAGCCTAGGGTTTAAGTTTTTTTTATTAATTGAGAGGGCAGTCCACTTGTTACTCATATTTCCTTGTTTTCCCCAGAAAAAATATAATTCTATTTCTTACTCATACAAAAACAATCATTTGTGTGTGTGTGTATAATGAGATTGGATAATGAAAATTTTAAGGTCATGTGAATCGTTAAATATAACGTTAGCGATTAACGTTAGCGTTTTGAATAAAATTTTAACGGTGTAGATTTTTTTTAAAACGCTAACGTTAAACGTTACTCGTAGATAACTTTTTCAAAACGCTAACACTAAATTCTAACGTTATTTCCAAACAAACCCAAAATAGAATTAGATCATATTTTAGTTTGAAAATACACAAAACTCATCAAATTTAGGGAAGTGAAAAACTAAATAAAGCACAAAATTGAGGCATGGTATAAAATAATGAAGGGTAAAAGATAAAATAACAAGGGTGAAAAAAATGATCAAGGTAGTAAAAGATAATCCAATCCAAAATCAAATTCATGACTACATTTATCTCTTTGAATCGATTCTTAAAAAAAAGAGTTCTCACAGTTAATTGTTGCAGCTTCAATAGGGCAAGCCCAGTAATTCTTCCAAGTTGAGATACATATGATCAGGAAGAAGAAACAAATATTACAGAGACACTATAAAGCATTAGAGGGATCAACCAAGCCACTGGGTACACTTCCTATCGCCGCTGGACCCCACGGAGTGGCGGATACTGATCTTCTCACTCTTGTATTGTTGCTGTAGCCATTCAAATCCGTTCACGTCCAGTTTTCCGGTCACGGATTTGCCTTGCTTCCTCCTCACTTGCTGCTCTCTCACGGACGCCCACAGTTTGTCAATGGCTTCCCTTTGTTTGGAGGTGAACCTCGAAATGTTGTCGAAGGCGTGCTTTACCAGGATGTCTATTGCTGTTTGGCACCTGGCAAGACAAACCACATTTCATCAGCAATATATATGAACCACATTTCATTAGCAATATCCAAGTGTCTGTTTGGATGGAGGGTTTTGGAAAGGAATGCTTGGAAGAGCTTGGTCTAGACCGGTCGTAAAATACTTCTCAAAAAATAAAATAGGATTGAGATGTTACAAGATAGGTCAAATATTATTCAATCTTCAATTGCTAAAAAAACCTCAACTGAGTATATTATAGAACAGTGACTGAGCCCTCCAAAGTTTCTCCCTCCAAAACCCAACATTGAAACGTAACCTAGAGAATCAACTCAATCAAGGAAAATATTTTCTCATTTTTTCTACTGCCAGACATGGAATGCCATTCCCAAAGAATGTTTAACACCATGTTTGGTTCAAAGAATTGGGAAGGAAAAGAAGAGAAAATGGTTTTCTATCATTTTCCTCACCGAAATGGGAGGAATTTAGTTTTCCTTTCTCTTAGTACATTTTGTCTTCTCATTTTCTATTCCTTCCACTTTTCATTTGCTCTCTAACCAAAAAAACTATTTTCCATCTCATTTTCTTTTCTTTCCCCTTTCAAATTCCTTGAACCAAACACAGTTTAAATGTTTTCCAGTGCCAAACACAGAAATCAGAAAAGAAACTAAGATAGTTTCCTGTCAACAAACAGAGCATTAATTTGGGAGGAACTTGACCATGGGGTTTTGTAGCGTTTCGCTGCAATCTCTAAACACAAAACCCATGCCTCTCGTTTTGACTTGAGTAGCTGCTTGGCATCTTCCACTTCTTTCTTTTCTTTTGCTGCCTTGGCCTTGTCATCTTTCTTTGAGGTGCTTGGAATCAAAGCATCGAGGCCAAAAGGGTCCTGATCGTCATTATTATTATTACTACTACTACTATTGTTGTTCTTGTTGTTATTATTGTTTATTATCTCAGATGAAGGATAAGGAGTATGCCCATCATTTTTCTGCACATTGGCATTTGCTGCCCGTATCTCATCCTCTAAGGAAGCAGCTTCCTCTATGTCTTCATCTTTTGTTGCAAGTGGAAGGTTTGAAATGCCTTCTTTTATTTTCCCAGTAGCTTTTGAGAACTTGCATCAATACACAGACACATTGATATGTATGAGAAATAAATATTGAAAAACTGTCAGATTTTCTTCAAGACAATCTAAGTTTGGAGGAAAGGCAAACAAGCAGATTCATAAGTACTCCCTCCCTCCCTTGCAAAAAAAAGAGTCATATTTAAGAACTTATTTCTGTCCCTAAAAAGAGTTCTGTTTGAATAAAAGAATTTATTTTTTCATTGCACTCCGCATGTAGTGCAAGTGTGTTATTTAAAAAAACTGTACCAAACAAGTTGAGGATGGATTCAGTTAAAGTGTTAAACCAACATATTAATTTAAAAAAACCTTACTAAAAACAAACCAATTGTACCTCGTTGAAACAATTTTTTTAGGGAGGCAGTAATACTATTAAAAAAACAAAATAAAACAAATGCATACCACAAAGCTGTCATCTGTGAAGAGCTCATTGGCCACGACTGCCCGGATTGTCCATACGGTTAACCAACTTTGCTGCTTCTTCGAGGGGCACTGCATGAGTGAATACATTTTCATAATGAGTTATTCTACCACTTCAAACACTATATTCACACTAATGCCTCACCTCAACTCCATCTAGAGATGCAGAGAACAGTGCATGATAGTCGGCACGTACTGATGGCTCGTTGCAGGAGGTGGGTGATGACATTGCAGCTTCAAGAATAGCAAAAAATTGTCCACTAGTCGATGGTTTAACACTACCGGCTTGAATTAATTGAATTGCAAGTTTTGATGCCTTGCTGAACTTTGAGGGGTTCTTTATATGTGATGATATCTTCTCCATAGCTTCAATAACTTGAGCTTCAGATGCATCAGTAGTTGTTTTAAATTTCAATCTTTTTTGAGGAGCAGAAGCTGTGGTACAAAAGGGACACAACAACTCTCAGTTCAAGTGATAATCAGACATCACATATAATCTAGAGGCTTAATGGTCTAATTATCATAATCAAGCTGCGCATCTCACAAGCATCACACTATTTCCTAAGAGGTTAACATAATTCCATAGTTTTGAAAGGCAAAAGGCGAGAGGCAGGCGAGAGGGCCTTTTTTAAGGCGAAAGGAGAGGCGAGAGGCAGGCGGCCAAAAGGCGAACTTGAGGCATACACACACATACATAAAATATATAGTGCAGTGCAATTGATAATGTCAGTCCCAAGCAAGTCATACATGTGAAACAAAATAATTAGAGTAGTTACTACATATGTTTCTCAAAAAATGAGTATTTAATATATATATAAATGTATTTTAAAAAGCCAGCTCATTTTTTAATAGACCCATAGCCAGTAAGACGAGAAAGGCGAACAACTCATGCGAGAAAGGCGAGCGACTCAGGCGAGAAAGACGGACAGCGCCTCGCCTGTACAGGCGCTAAAAGGTCGCTCGGATGCCTGAGGCGCTCGCCTTTCAAAACTATGCATAATGCAAAAGTATGATGGTAGTCCAATGTGATTTCACTTAAGAAAAGCAACGGACAGTCAAGAAAACATTAGGTAGGACCTAGGGGATATCAGATCCATGTCTTTTTGGTCTAAAACTCAGCTATCGGTTTGTTTAATTCTTATTGGAAAATGCGCTATTTGGTTCATTTAGTTTCAATCCATTTTTGAATCACTTTAATATGGTTCGGAAAAAACATACCGTAAGTAAACCCAAAGCATATGACTTGGTTTTGGTTTGGTCTGATTTGGTTAGGCTATGTTCAGTGCAACAATTAAACTGAACTGAAATGTCCACTCCTAAACCCTAATAGCAGCTGCACTTGAGTAAAACATGACTTGCATTCAGCATAAATTAGGTAACATCAACAAATACTTATCCAGCAATGGCTCCAAAGTAAAGAAGAAAAATTGACATAAAGAGATAACAATTAGCTATAACCCACAATAACCCCTGCCAATTTGTTAGGAGGCATTTACAAAGTTAAATACTCCGTAGATTACACACATTAAGTTCATCTGATATGCATATGAAATGGAACTTGAACAATTAAAACCTTTTAGAATGTATCCATTGAATTAAAATATTACAAGCCATTTATAGATCTCGATAATAAAAAAATTTATGTAGAGCTACAATCAATTCAAATTATATGAAAATACAAGGGAAAAAAACCAAAGATACCCGAAAATGCATTGGACTAAACAGGATGAACCCAATTCCCATCATAGAATAGCAAAAGAAACCCTAGTAACAGACTAAAATTTGACGATCGGCTGGATAAAATATGAAAACTAAGAAACAGGTGGAAGGCGTTACACGGATAGGGGTAGAAGTCCACCTACTTTCAGGTGGAGTTTCTTGAGGAGGCTTCGGACGTTTGAGAGCGTTCTTAAGTGCAGGCTTAGGTTTTGGTGGCGGTGCAGGGGAACCTTCTAAGTGAGCATGTGTTGTTCCGGCGGAGGAATAACAGGGGATTCTGGCGTTCGAAGCTTGTGGCGGCGGCAAATCCTCGAAAAGGTCTCCGGTCATCGCGGCACGCCGGCGGTACTTATCTCTCTCGATCTCTGTTTTCCTTGAATAGTTGAATTAAACCGAAAAGGAAAAGGTAGGAGAAGACTGTGGAGCCCACCGCTAATGGGCTCCAATTTTGGAGTACGGCCAGAAGTGGGCCGACCCAACATGTAGGAAAAAAGGTAAAATCTTCTATCTTTTGAAATAATTTTATACCCGGAGTATACAAATTGGTACAGAATATATCGATAAAAAATAAAAATCAAATATTAAACATTACGTTAAAAATTTTACAAAATAAAAGATGAAAATAATATTTTACTTTATCAAATAATCAATAAAAATACACAACTAAATAAATGTTATCAAGACGTGAAAAAAATGCACTTCGTAATCAAATTTAGGACGAAGGGAAACTGTTCTTCTACGGAGTAATATATTCATAAAAAATTTATACTTTGAATTTTACGCTATTT